TATTGTTGCACCACCTCTTGTTGGTATATTATATCTTAAAATAATAGTAGTTAGTGTAATATCAAAAATATATAAAAATTTAACTCAAAACTGTTTTTCAAAAAGATAAAAAATAGCTTTCCTAAAAATAGGTAAAAAAAGAGAAGAAAAGATATCAAGTTTATTACATCTGTTGCAGGATGAATAATAAAATGTTTAATTTTATAATTATTTTAAGTAAAAAGATGGCGTTAAATACTTGAATGCAAATTGTTACTATATTTATTATCAAAACTAATATTAACTGTAATGTGACGCCACTGAATAAATAGCATTTTATCAAGATAAGTGAGAGATATCCTTTTTAAATCGAGTATTAATCTAGCGATGAAAAATATTTTTCACCTGATTGTACTGGTTGTGTATACAAATGATCTTCATAGCTAAATTAGCAAGGCTAGGAAGTTCGTTTTTTTCCCAGAAAGTGCATCCACTGGTTTACTGTTTTAGCTGAGCAAAAAATGACACTCTTGCTCCAAATTTCTAATGTTGTTATAATCCTTTCTTGGATGGAAATGTTTGCGAGTCATTTTAATTACATAGTGGATGTTTGCCTATTATCTTCAAATTAAATCTCACTCTGTGCATTTTTATCATGCTCTAAAAGTTTTAAATCCAATTAAAAATTATTATGATGTAGTAGAAATCAAATTTAGATAATCTGAAACAATTTTTAAATTGAAATCTTGGATCAAGTGGTGTCAATATCTAATCTTTTTAAAATAATTTTCTTAATAAAAATATAATATAAAATAAATTATTTGAAATTTGGTAATTGGAAACTTATGGTCAATCTTTTTATGATATAAATCAGATTTATTGATTTGTATATGTTTCTAATTCACTACAAAATAATCCTAAATTTGTTATTGATCCTTTTTGAGAGGAAAGAAATTCCATCGATTCTCAGAATGAATTTAATAATATGTAAAGTTTTTATTCATTCGTTATTAAAAATTGTAAAGATTGTTTTCTATTTTATTTAGAACATTATTTATAGAAATCTTGTTAACACTACGGATACTTCCTAGCATAATTAATATGCTGTGCTAGTGGGTAAATTTAATTTTAAAGCCTTTCTTAATAATAAGATCTATTGGTGCAATGCAATTTATACTATCAATTTCACTAGAGATAACAAAATGTTTATCAAGGTATGGATCAGAATCATCAATGTCCAAAATATAAACTGTCTCATAAATTGTTACAGGCATTTACTATGCTCATCCTCAATTTCACATTCCAAATCATCTAATCGATATCTGAGGGCTGAAGTGATTTCTCTTTAGTCAGAATATTAATTCTTGCAATTTGAAGTCCATGCTCTAGCATAAATGATGCTCATAATCCTCCAATCTGACGATTCTTTTGACATTAGCCCCAGCATCAGTTACCATCTGTATATTTTGTTTTTTGAAGTAATTCCTCTTCTATACTATCGATTAGATAATATGGTTTAAAAAAAACCTGATTCGGGTAAAAAAAGATTTTGGTTAGCTGGCAGAAATTCTTCGATATATATTTACCAAATCTAGACGCTTGCATAATATTATTATAGATAAAATCTTAATCGGGCCGTTTTGAAAAATCGATCCAAATCAGGTATTTTAACAACTTTTACTATGCTTTTACATCACGTTTCTACTTGCCAGAGTTAAATATTTTAAATCAAAATTTTCATTTAAATGACGAAGACTAAACGTGATATATACACTTGAAGTGATCTCTCGATAAATTAAAAGTGATGGAAGAGAATTTTGATCCAGAATCAATCAGATTTAAAATATGCCCCTATATATTATAGATAAGTAAACCTCAGCAAATGTACCCCAACTAAAGGTAATCTTGTCAGGCAATTCTGACGAGGAATCAAATATCATATTTTATTTTTTTAAAACAATTTATATTTTAATAATCATTATATCTAAATTTTTTTCAACATATTTTGATTTATAAGAATTTTAAATCTTCTTTGTAAATAAATCTCTTTTAAGGAATTAGTTTGTGAATTTTATTATAATTAAACAATCTTCTATGAAATCTTTTATAATTTTTTTAATCATTTTTGTAAAATTATCTATTTCAAGTATATTAAAAGAGGTCGTTTTCTCATTTATATTTTTTAAATATTTATACTAATCTTTTTTATGTTATTTTATATAATCTTTTTAATGAATTTTAATGTGACAATTGTCATATTCCTTATTTTTTTAAATATTTTGACACAAAGGGGTAAAAATATAATTTATAATATAATGGTATTTAATTATAAATTCAATGAAGATGTTCCTTGGAAAAATAAAACATAAGATCTTTTTTGACTCTAATGAGCAATAATATGTATTTTTAACATGTTAAATTAAAATTTTAATTGAGATTAGCATATATAAAAGACAATTGTAATAATAGTTATTTTTAAAGTTTTTAAATTTTTTTTACGTAAATAGGCTAAAATAAGTTTTGCAAATGTGTTTTAACTTCAGTGTAGATGTACTCTATATAAATGACAATTGTCAAAATCATTATTTTTAAATTGAATTTTTTTGAGGTAAATTAGTAAAAATATAGATTGTAAACATGTAAAATTAAAATTTAATGAATATGTACCATAGAAAAGTGACAATTGTCATAATCGTTATTTTTAAAGTTTTTTAAATTTTTTTGACGTAAATAGGCTAATATATAAATGGCTAACATGTTTAAATAAAACTTCAGAAAACATGAAGATGTACCATAGAAAAGTGACAATTGTCATAATCGTTATTTTTATCTTATTGAAAAATTTTATAAAAAAATAAAAATAAATACATAAAAACAATAAAATATTTAACTTTAAAATTATCATAAACATAGAGTAATTAGAATATAGTATCTTTGCTAATGGCGATTATTTTAAAGACGTTTTTTAAATTGTTGAGGTCTATATTATAATAAGTCTATGATTACAACACAACACATGTTTAATTTTAAAAAAATATCCATTAAATTCGAATTTTTATTCATCTAAGAAAAAATATATTAAATTAAAAATAAATTTATTCCATGATGTTTAGACCTACTACATATGAGGAGTTTTTACAAATATATTGTTTATTTTATGTTACTATCATTGTAATAATGATATGATAAAAAATAAATAACTGAATTTCTTTAATCATATTTGGAATATTATATTTTACATAATAATATTCATTCAAAAATTACGTGATACGTGCTAAAAGCGTTTTCGCCCTCTGGTTGTGGATACAACAGAGATAAGCTAGGTTTTCCTCAAAAATCCATCAAACTGGATAGTTAATTAAGGGGAGAAAAATGAGGAGCCCTTAACACGTTTGTGGGCAAGCCGCACGTACTTGTATGCGCAACAGTCCGAGAACTGTTGCTTAAACGTCTATAGGCTAATAAACCAAAAGAAATGGGCAAAACAAAAGCCTATACCCAAGAACTGCAAAAATAATTTAATTACTTTAAGGGTGGGTGGTGGCTAATTTTAAGTTTAACATCTGATGTAAGCCTTGATAATTACTATAGATGTTAAAAGTTACTTTTGAAACATAACTAGTTACAGTTACTAGTTACATTGTCAAAAACATAACTAGTTACAGTTACTAGTTACATTTTTACAAAAGTAACTAGTTATTAGTTACAGTTATTTTCAAAAATAACTAGTTACTTACTTTATACATCCTTCATATGCGCATTATTTATTTATTGAATACATTTATTTTATATAAAAAAAATTAGGATAAACATAGTATAATCAGTTATTTAAAATAATATACAATTTATTTATATAAAAAAATATCGCAAAATTGAATATTTACATCGAATATAAAAATATATATTTGCATTGAAAAAAAAACATTTATTTTTCATAAAAATTAGAATCTAATAAATGTTTATTTACTTTTAACAACAAATTAATTTCAAAGTTATTATCTAGGAGACGTGCTCGTTTATCTCCAAAAATGAGCTTACCTAGACTGAATAAGCGTTCTACGGGAGCACTTGAAGTTAGAACAACATTATATTTAATAAAGAGTAATTTTAACTTAGGAAAATCGTTATATAAGGAAAAAGTGTTGTTATTAGATTTGATAAAGTTTTCTATAAGTTCATTATCCAGAATATTTTGGCGCTTTAGGTCAAAAAATCCAACTACATCAAGTGATGTTGGTTTTGAGCATGATTCATTCGTCTGGGATTCACTTTGAGGTATTAAGGTATTTATTAAATTTAAAATTTCCTCCTTTTTTGCTTTATTCCTTTCTTGCCTAATTCAAGGCCAGTCAGTTTTAAATAAAGGGTGAAGAATTTCAGCAATGATGTTGTCATTATCATAAAGATTATTAAACCTATGACATGATATTATTAATTTATAAATAATTATTTGATTTTAGTTACCTTTTTTCAATACTAGCTAATATAGTATCCTTTAGAGGTTGACAATATTTTAATCCCTGCACATCTGCCATACATATAAGTATTTGTGTTATTGTTGGGAACAATCAGACATTTTCACAAAATTTTAAATTAATAAATTTAATTTAAAAAATAAATTTATTTTAAATTAATTTATCACAACATATTAAAAATAAAATTAATTATTTGAATATATCTTTAAAAGTAACTAGTTACTTTTGGCAGTTACATTTCAAAAATTTTAACTAGTTACAGTTACTAGTTACAATTTTAAAAATATAACTAGTTACAGTTATTTTTTACTAGTTACAGGTAACTAGTTACTTGTAACTTGTAACTAGTTACCTTAACATCACTAATAATTACTATCAATAATTGAGAATGTGTTCATATCAATTGAGATTAGAAATTATTCATGAAAATAAGAAAAAGCTAATAATTAAAACAAATATATTCCATAAAGAACGGTTAATTTGAAACTTGACAAAATGTCAATTTACTCCAACTTAATAATATTCCAATATTTTTTACAATTGTGTTACCCTTCCATGTTTTATCGATCACATAATTTAAAATATGATTTCTAGCGGTAAATATTTATTTAGAAATATTATACATATACATAATTTAGTTTATATTGCATGTACTATATGCTTGGAGAAAAAAGAAAATCCAATCTCCTTATTATGTTAATATTTAATTTTTTACATGTACATTTTTATATAATTAGGTGGTCACACTTTTCACCTTGAATGGTATGCTTATAATTTATTCTATGTTATTTCAATTAATAAACAGCTACTTCAATTTTGTTTAATTAATTATTAAATTAATAAATTATAGCTTCAATCTTAAGATATTAATTTATACATAACTTCCTGTTATTAGCCTTAAACTATTACACTACAAGTATAGGTGTAATAAATTTATTTTGAACAATATGCATAAGTTAATACTTGACACCGAACTAGTAGTTTCAAAATTATGTACTACAATGCTTAAAGGGCTGCCAAACATTAATTCTAATTTTACCCATTATAAATTGATTAAATTTTCTATTTAGCATTCAAAAAGTCGTGAATAATTCATGTCCTAACTGTCGGCAAAATTTCCAAAATGATCACATAATAAATCTTCATATAAGCACTATTTTGGACTCTCAAGTATAAACTGTATAAATATAGATTTTAGCAGTATTTTTATTTAGATTAAAACTTACTTTATGTATCTAGTGTTATAAATAGCTTGTATAAATCTAGTATTCTAAATGGCTTGATTTAAAAAATGACTAACTCAATATTTTAGTAAAAAAAGAAAATATTACACAAGCCACTAGATTGATAGATGTCTAAGCCTTTTTGCCATCTCTGAACAAAATTTCCAGGCATATGTAATATTTTTGGCTAAAATATTAGATTAGCCCATTTTAAAATTTGTGCTGTTTAGCAACACTGAACACTATACATATAATATTTATGAAAAATTGACCATCACTTTTATTAGATTCACTTGTTCTATATTCTGTAAATTAATTAATTTCAAACTTAAAGAAGTAATTTTCTTCTAAATTTTAAGGTTATAAAGAAATTGTGAAATGCATATTTAAAATATTTTTACAATTGGATTATCCTGGAACTGTTATTAGTAGAGATATACATTAATCATTTTAATGAGCTAAATAATTTACTTTTAGTTATATGAGATTTGAAAATTTGTTTTTCAAACTATTATAAAATAAAATTTATCAAAAAATATATTGACCATTTTTTTATTCCATATCTAATTTTAAATTGAAAAGATTATAATAATATGATGATTAAGAAGTTTCTATTAAGTTATTAAAAAAATTGATATGCATATTAATATGGGTTGGGCAGTATCACAGATATTTTTTTCTAAGATACAAATTATTTAAATGTATCTGTATCTTAATCAACTTTGTATACAAAAAGATACAGATACTTTAAAAAAAATTATATTTTAATTTAAATAAAAAAATTTATAGCAATTTAACTACCATATTTTGTTTGAATCGTTTTATATCCATCTATTTTAAAATAATGAATGATTGAAGAAGAAGATAGAATATTATCTTTGTCTATGATTCTCCTATAATAAGCTCTCGATTTGCTTATTAATGGAATTATGGATTTTTTGAGGATAGGTTTTTTTTTACTTTCTTTATTTTTTCCAATTTTTCTATCATAAAAAATATATTCAAAAATAAACAAAAAAATACGAATAAAAAATATTATTTTTCCAAATTGCTTTTTTCTATCAATTATTCATTATATAATAAAAATAAATAAATTATTATAATATAACATGTATTCCCTTTTCAAGGTAGTACATGCCACAATTTTATTGTGACTATTAACAAAAATTAATCAGTTTATAAAAATCAATACATGAATCACCTATAATTTAAGAATTATTTTTAGGTTCTCTTTTCTTCATCATTTCATAAACCGCTCTGTTCGTCAATAATATCTGTTACAGCATTACCATTGAGCCAGAACTTCACATCGCTGTTCTCTTGATGTCGAATTTCCTTTTTTTTCTTGTTTTATGTTATTGTTGCTATCATCTTGATATTGTATCGATCATCTATGACGTTATCACACCTTAGGTATTCTTGGTCATACGACGATTTGATTTTTGGTTACAGGATTGTAATTAGTTGTTGATTTTCAAAATTATCCTGGTTAATGAGTCATAGCTTGATTGATCCATTGCATCATAGGTCAGTCATGATCATTCTATCTTAAGTTTGGTATTATTAATCTAGCATAATTGTAGCTAATTGTGCAGAATCATTGTAGTTGATTGAAAGAAATATTACAAAGAGTCAATCCAATGTTGTTTTTTTAATTACATCCAAAATGTAATTACTATTCATTCCTTTTAACATTATCCAAGATACACTTTTAATTATTATTATTTTTTTTTATATCAAGAACTAATCACTTTAACAACTTTACTCAAACTTAATTTATTTTTTATAAAATATAATCACAAAAATTTCAAAAATATTTTATTACACAAAAATTTTAATAAAATATATTATATAATCCCTTTTCTTTTACAAATAACTTCACAAAAATACATTATTTTCTTCATACTGTTATTTAATTCACATAGCCTTTATTTAACACATTCCAGTTGCTTTCTAGTAAAATAATTTCACATTCCTTAATTTTCCAACACTTTTGATTACTTTCACCTACTATTTTTTTTTTCTTTTACTAATTTTCAAAATTAATTACTTTTACTCAACACATTTCTCAACCTCTTTTTATCTTTTAATATCCTAATTATTTAATTAAAAACGAAACCTTCTACAATTTACCCCCAATCATAATTAATTATTATTTTTCCTTGACAGACAACATTCTTTCTTTAAAATTCCTTTTTTTTAAAAAATAACTTTTACAACACATTTTTCTTCCCAGTTTTATCAATTCCATAATTTATTGCTTCTATTCAAAATATATTTCTTAACCTCTTTTCTTATTTCACAACTTATATCCTAATTTTTATCTTTCAAAACGATACAATTTACCCAAACTTCCTATAATAATCGCTTTCACTTTCCTTAAAATTCAAAAATTTTAACCCCTTTTTTTAAACTACTACACACTCTTTTTATTTTTTTAAAATCGTTCCTATTAATTTTAAATCTTTCCTATATCTTGTTTTTATACACTATAATTAATTTCTCCTTTCTTCTCTTTTTTTAAAAATAGAATTTACTTTCACTATACAATTCATATTAACATTTAATCAACCCAGGTTTTTTTAACATATTTTATTACTTAGTTGCCTCAAATTAAACAATTACACTTTCCAACTTTCCTACAATATAACATAAAGTAATAACTTGATGAATCCACATATAATCATGAAATCCTTTGGTTTATTCCTTTCCCCTTTAATTTTCTGTTGTTTTTCACAATTTTTATTTCCCTATTTTTTCTTATTTCAACTTATTCTATGAAAGATGACAAGCACAATACATATAAATATGTTAAATAGTTATAAATATATAAAAGAAATATTTATTAAATTTAACACAATATTGCCATCCTCTGCCCCCATTGAATGATTATTCAGCTTTCCTAATATAGTCAATAGACCAAATTGTCAAAGACTGAATGACATATTATTGATTATTGATATTTACTAATTAATTTTTTGTTCTGATACTATTTTCATTATTATAATATACAATTTTTAAAAATTTATATCTCATTATCTTATAATATAACAAATTTGTTATTTTCTGCAATTTATTTTCATATTTTTTATAAATTTATATTATAGTTAAAAATAAAGCTTGATACATTTTGCTATCTATTTAATGTTTTTTAAACAAAGTACGTATCTTGTATATAAAATTTTTCTAAAGTATCTTGTATCTTAAATACAAAATTTTATAAAATAAATATATCTGTATCCCAGAGTTGTTAAACGCTACTTTAAAAGTAGCGCGCTACCGCTATTTGTTTATAAAAAAAATTTACAAACAAATTTTTTATTTTTTGCTTATAATGTTATTGTATAGTAAATATATAAAAATCAACATTTATAAATATTAAAATATAGTTAGTTTTGATTATAAAAAAAATTTATGTAATAAAAATAAATATTTATGGTAATTTATTGCATTTTAATAATAAAATCATTTCAATATTATCATCCCCAAGTCTAGAGCGACGATCAGAAAGTATAAGTTTTGCCTTATTAAATCTCTCGACACTAGAACTTGAGGGTAAGGGCGTATTTAATCTTATATTTTTAATATTAGATAGATTATCAATAATTTTATTTGCAAGTACATCGTATGTCTGACATCCTATTATCATTTTGAGGGCTAATACCACAGATCTTCTTTTTAAAGTTCTAGGGTCTAGCCAATGACCTAAATATAAATAAGTTTTTACCTTCTGTTATGTGTTCAACTACTCCCGTGGTACATATATATGATATCTCTGATAACTCTACTATTAGAGCATCTTTCATCATTTTAAAGTTATTTACTATAAGTGTCTGGTGGCATAAAATTGTTGTACCAGGGAAATAGAGTTTTAATCATCATGGTAAATGATGAATTATCAACTAAGGACATTGGCTGAAATTATAAAATCAACAATAACTTTATCAGCCAATTTCTAAGAAATATTGTCATTTGCATTATTAATTAATTTGGTTTGAATTGAATTAGTCTTTTTGGATGTAGAGTCACCTATACCAAAAATATTTAATGTTTCTCCATTTCCTTAAAACTCATGAACATCTTATAAAATAAATATTATTAGAATGTAAAAATGACAATTTACCTTTAGGTGTTTCTTGAGGTTATAGCTACTGGATTGATTTGGGGAAATATTTTTTTTTACATTTTAAACAAATAAATTTGAAACCAGTTTTGGTTATATATTTATTTTAAAAAATTTTCAAATCTAGGGAGTGGGAAATTTGTATTATAGCTATAAGAACATTTTCTTCCCTTATCTTCCATTTCATTAATATTATTGTCTGAATCACTTTCATAGATTTGGATATCCATAGGCGATGACATTTTAAATTAACACGTGATTTAGGTTTATAATACAAATGAAAATATAAATTATTATATTTTAATTTCAAAATTAAATAATAAATAATAAAAATTATAATTAATTATGATATTATATTTAAATTTTCATGTTTATACTTACCTTCATTATATTTTTTAAAAGTAGCGAAGTAGCGGCTACTTAGCTACTTTCAAAAAAAGTAGCACGCTAAAAAATTAAATAATTACAAAAAAAGTAGCCGCTATTAGCTATAGCTACCAAAAAAGTTAGCGCGGTACTTTAACAACTCTGCTGTATCCAAAGGCAATTTTCTGAAAATTTGCCCAACCCTGATATTAATTTACTTAATAAAGACATACTGATTTTTAAAGCAAAGAATTTTTCTTATATCTTTTTTTAAGACATATTTTTTGATAGCAACTTGGTTCCAACTGAGAAAACCCTTCCACAAGTAGCTAATATATAAAACCACATCGCTTGTAAGAATGAATGGTTGGCAAATTATAAATTTTAATGCAAAACATATTAATAATTATCTAAATATTTGATTAAATTATTTGTATAATTAAAACGAATTAATTATT